ACTCCTACTCTACTACTACGACTATCACTACTACTACGACTACGACTACCACGCCTACTACTACTACTGTTACTGCTACAGCTACTGCTGCTGATACTGCTGCTACTACTACTACTACTACTACTACCACTACTACTACTACTCCTGCTACTCCTACTACGGCTACTACGACTACTACGACTATTACGAGTACTACTACCATTACTACTACTACTACTACTACTACTACTACTACTACTACTACTACTACTACTACTACTACTACTACTACTACTACTACTACTACTAACTACTACTTCTACTACTACTACTACTGCTGCTACTACTACTATGACTACTACTACTGCTACCACTACTACCTTACTTAACTTACTTACTTACCAACTTACCTTACGTAACTTGCCTTGATTGCTGCTTGACTTTGGTTGCTTGCTTGCTGCTTAGCTAGCTGAAGGGGCCGTGGGACTACTACTACTACTACTACTACTACTACTACTACTACTACTACTACTACTACTACTACTACTACTACTACTACCACTACCCTACTACTACTACTACTACTACTACTACTACTACTACTACTACTACTACTACTACGACTACTACTACTACTACTGCTGCTACTACTACTACTACTACTACTACTAGCTACTACTACTACTACTACTACTACTACTACTACTACTACTACTACTACTACTACTACGACTGCGACTACGACTACTACTACTACTGCTACTACTTCTTCAACTACTACCACTACTGCTGCTGCTACTACTACTACTACTACTACTACTACCACTACTACTACTACTACTACTACTACTACTACTACTACGAGTACTACTAAAACGACTATTACTACAACGACTACTACGGCGACTGCTAGCACCACGGCTGCGACCACTACGACTAGTACTACGATTACGTCGCATGCTCATAGTAGTACTGGAAAAGAACACATCAAATAGTAGGACGACGACGACAACTACGACGACTACTACTACTACTACTACTACTTCTACTACTACTACTATTACTACTACTACTACTACTACTACTACTACTACTACTACTACTACTGCTACTACGACTACTACTACTCGATTACTACGACTGGTACTACGAAAACTACTACTACTACTACTACTACTACTACTACTACTACTATTACTACTACTACGGCTACTACTACTACTACTACTACTACTACTACTACGACTAATGCTACTACTACAACTAGAACTAAGACTAGTAGTAGTAGTACTACGACTACTACTACCGCTACTACTACTACTAGGACTACTACTACAACTGTTGCTCTTACTACGACGACGAGAAAGAACAACAACAACGACTACTACTGCGGCTACGACGACTACTACTGCTAGTGCTACTACTACAACTACATATTCTACTACTTCTACTACTACTACGACGAATACTACTACTACTACTACTACTACTACTACTACTACTACTACTACTACTACTATTACTACTATTACTACTATTACTACTACTACTACTACTACTACTACTACTACTACTACTACGACGACGACGACTACGACTGCAACTACAACTACGGCGGCTACTACTACTACTACTACTACTACTACTACTATTGCTACCACTACTACTACGAATGTCACTATTACTCCTACCACAACGACTAATACCCCTACTACCCACTACTGCTGCTGCTGCTATCACGACCACTACGGCTACTACTAGCACTACTACGACGACTACTACTACTACTACTACTACTACTACGACTACTACTACTACTGCTGCTACTACTACTACTACTACTACTACTACTACTACTACTATTTCTGCCAGTACGACTTCTACTACTACTAATCATACGAATCCGAATGACAAGAATGATACGACTACTTCGACTGCTGCTACTCCGATTCCTACTCCTACTCCTACTACTCCTACTACTACAACTACTACTGCTACGGCTACTACCGCTACTACCACTACTACTACTGCTACTACCACTTCTACTACTACTACTACTACTACTACTACTACTACTACTACTACCACTACTACGACTACTACCACTACTATTACTACTACTACTACTACTACTACTACTACTACTACTACTACTACTACTACTACTGCTACTACTACTACTACTACTACTACTACGGCTGCGACCGCCACTACTAACACTACTACAGCTACTACTACCAGTACTACCACTACGACCAGGACGACCACGATTACGCCCACCACAACGACTACTACGACACATACAACTAATTCGAGTAGAGTATCACTGCTCGTACTACTACTACTACGACTACCGCTACTACTTCTGCTACTACTACTACTACTACTACTACTACGACTACTACTACTACAACTACGACTACTACTACTACTACTACTACTACTACTACTACTACTACTACTACTATTACTACGACTACTACTACTACTACTACTACTACTACTACTACTACTACTGCTA